TCGGTAAGCTACCGATTAAAAAAATTGGAGGAATGTGATAGAAAGTATTTTAAAAGCGCTGAAGACATTCGCGAGTTTTGCGATACCATACTTTTTCAATATACCTACTCATAATTATTCAAATTTTTCATCAGACTTCGAGTGCAAGACCGCTCTGGGCGACAAAGCTGTCGCGTTAGCGTATACCTACTTTGTGCCGTGCGACTCTGTTAGTACATTTTTTTTAATTCGAGAGTCACGAAGACACTTTGTCCCACGTTTTCATAAAGAAATAGCCAGATTTCTCTGAGAAGAAGTGACGTTAATTAATTAAAAAAATTGGAAACTTCCTTTACCACAGTCATTAATTGGAGAATTAAGAGGGAATGAGAGATCACCCCGAAGTTGCTATGTTCAAGGAATCTGTGGTCATTATGAACAGAAAATTAAGTCTCCGTAGTTTTTCCTTCATATTTTTCATAGAGATTTAATGAATTTGGCATACTGTCAAGGAGTTTATCTTCTAATGGTTGGCGTTTATGGAACCAATCATTAACTCAGAAATCGTGTACTCCCATTGTCACTGGAATAGTGTCTCTTCACCAAAGGTGGTCTAGTTTATCCAAAATTTCTTAAAAACCTTTATAGCTCCTAAATTTAGAGACTGTGCTTAGGGTTTTCGATTACAAATTCTGGAAAGTGAAATCCAAGCGCTTAAGTACTGAAATTGACTTGAGGTATCATGATTGCTGGAGGTATGAAATTTTATGCCCAATTCCCTAAGTGCAAGGTGAAGTAATGCAGAGAAAATTGATTTCTTGCCTAAACCCGGGTTTTTTTTTTCCTTTTTTTTTTTTGGTTGAGATTAGTAACTTTCGCTTAACTGTTAGCCCTGCCCTCCCTTTCCCCACTTGCAGGATTGTAGAATAAAAAGGAATGCATGAAATGCAAAAGAATATTAAAAAATACTCAGTTGGAATAGCAGTGAATAAATGAATTAAAGACTAAGAGAAAAATGAGTAGGTAATAAAAAAGGGAAAAAAACAATGAAACATATGAAAAACCGGTGGATAAAACGTGTTTTGATACACGGCAAGGACGGAAATTTGAAGAAAGTTTTTGACGTATTCGAATTGCAGTTGCATATTTAGTTGCATTCAATTTTAAGAACATGAATATCATATTTCATAGCCTGATGCGTTTAATATTGGTAACGAGGGAAGGGGGTGGAGGATCAAGCAAAACCCAGAAGAGGAGGGGGGTAGTGAAGAAAAATTAATGGAAACGTGTGATAACAATATTTCAGAGGGAGAAATTGCCGCGGCCTAGGTGGACAATTAACTGAAATGATCGGTTACCGAGCGAAACATGTCAAGAAATTGACAAGACGAAAAAATTAACCGTCAGGGTGTTTCGTCGTTTTCACCCTCATCTTACTGGCGTGTCAACGAACTGTGCTCGGCTGGTAGTGCATTCAGACGACCTGGTGCAGCCCGCGGGTAGCGAAGGAGCCGAGGGATGGACAAGGAGGATGACTCAACGGTCAACCATGGGTCAACGTGGACCGTATGCAGGATTCGCAGCCCAGCGGGCCGCGGCGCGCCCGACCAGGCGACCACTGAGCGATGAGAGGGAATAAGGAGGGAATAAACTGGCGTTCTTCATTTGCCTCTCAAGATGGGATATGAATACGAGTGTCATTGGCATCGCCTCTCTGAGGGCAATCGAATTAGACGGCTAATCCGTCGCGTTCTGGGATGGGTATCGCTTTCGCCGCGATATGCCTCAGGTATCGAGAACTAAGAGCGGGCGCCGGACATAAAGGTTTGGGTTTGCGAACGGAGAGGGCATTCGAAACAAAAGGCCTCTCAACTCGCAAGCGAGGAGGCGATGCATATGAAATCCTGGAAATCGGTGTTCGCTCTTGAGAACCCTCTCGACCCGAAAAGTCGAGGATCGAACCCGGGACATCACTATCATGGAGCCAGTACGTGTGCAGTAGGGCTCCGGACTCTGCTGAAACCTTCAGGCCGATAAAGCGGTACTAGAGGCTGCTTCAGTGTTGCCACGCGCCGCACGACCAAATCACACGCCGAAAACGCAACTTTTGGGAATTTTTTACGCCCTTCCTATTGCGCATTCGGAAAAACGGCTCAAATTGACCTCTAGAATTGGTCCATAGAGTCTGTAAAAAAAAAATTCAGCCCAATCGGAGGCGGCAGGTCCGTAAGTTCCCCTTGTAAGGTGCTCCAAACTTTCGATGTTGTATCTTACCTCACGCTCTTGCATCCCCGGTCCCTGCTATTGATCAGGCACCTGCTTTAACAGGAAACGCTATATCTGCTCGGAGGAAATGACGGTCACTGCCGCAAGAGAGTCCCCTGCACACTCTAACTTGCTGCAATTTCAGCTTAGTACCGCTTTACAATCACATGATCGATGATGGATTTCAATCCTCGCGCTGGCTGGACCCAGGTATACTTATGGATGTCTTTGTGTTGAAAAAAGCCATTCAAAATTCTCTTCTCACTTTGAGGACAAATTGAGATGAGCCGATCACCGTTATCATTAACAGCATCCTCTCCAAACGGTCCGACAACTTTACAGTTGACTCGTCGTCCCGTTCTGCTGTTCAAATCACCCATAAGAATGGCTTCCCTGCCAGCACCAACGTTCAGGATTTCATCATTCAGATCTTCAAAGATTGGTCCTTACACGCAACCTAACCTAACCTAACCGAACCGTACACTCCGAGCAGCGTGATCTTATGTCCGTATAGGTTGAGGTTCATTGTGATAATTCGCTGGTTGACGGCCTCCCAAGTGCCCACAAACTTACGTAGGCTTTTCCGCAAGAGTATTGCTACTCCTTGCTGAGCACGCTGCTCTCTGGCCACGCCGCTGTAGAACAGATCATAGTCACCATAATTCTCTGACCCGTGCCCTTTCATCTTGGTCTCAGTAAGAACAGCGACATCCACTTCAAGCTTCTGGATCTCCGATATCACTTCCGGTAGCTTATTCAAAATGCCTTGGACATTCCACGTCCCAAATATCAATGTCCGTTTTCTTAATATTTGTCAACGTGTCCGTTTGTTTCCAGTGGTACCGAGGCTTGTTATGTTGCGTCTTTTGACAGGAAAAAACATTTTACAAGTAACGGGGAGTCAGCCTGATGACTCAACCCCCAACCTGGAGAACCAGGGTTTGATTTCGGAGTTGCCTCTCCGAGACAGGTTGCTTCCACTTCAGCTCAGAGCCCTGCTGCCTACCCTTTTCACGGGTGGTTCATACGTCCAGAGGCCGGTGACTATCTCCACTACCCCCGTTAAGGCAAGGGCTAACAGCTGGGGTCCGTAGGATTACTAACCCTGTGACAACAGTCCCCCAAACGGAAATGATGTGCCTCATTTGATGTGCCCATTTTGATGTGCCTCACTTTATTTGGACCGCGTTTAACAGAAAGGAACCAAGCCACAACAGCTATTGCCAATTTTAACTGGGCAATTTAATTTTTTACGAGAAAATACGTTTGTACGCATCCCTTTGAAAATGTTAAGGAATTTGCTTCGTACTATAGGAAAATTTCACTGAAATTTGCACGAAAATCCGCAAAACTGTTTTTATGTAAAATATTTAACCAGCCGATTTTTGGCAATAGCTGATGTGGCTTGGTACCTTTCTGTTTTTAATGCGGTCCATTTAAAGGTCGTTTTACTTATTAAAGGAACAAAAAGTCCAATAGGGGTTTCCGCGGACCGACGTCGCGTCGCGTCGCGTTTTGGCGTCAGGTAAGTAAGGTGTGTAAGCAAATATGTTTCAGAGGCTACCTATTCATGCCTTTAAAATGCACTATACGGCAAAACGGACGAAATTTCCGTCCGAAGATCCGTAACTTTCGATTTCAATCTTGGAATGACACTTTAAAAATGCATAATTCAAACTTTGCACTTAGGCCCTTTTTGCCCCGTGAGAGGTGGGTTACCTAAAGTTAAAATTTTGGAATTTTTCAAAAAGTATGTTTATTTATACACCAAAGAGAAACTTTTTAGAGGTAGCGCTTTTCGGATTTCGAAAAACACAAAAATGAGCAGCCACACCCTAGGCTGCGCCCCCTGGACCCCCGATCACAAGTGACGTTCGGCTCGCTCCGTGAGCCATTTTTCTGAGTGATTGGACATTTGGACGTATTTATGCTAAAAGGAACTATGTGCGTAGGTTTTGCGTGGAACATAGCTCCTTTTAGCATAAATACGATCATTTGATCACTATGATGTATACATTATGGAGACTCAGGAGACAAAAATGATTTCGTCACAGAGCCTTTGTTGCCGGAGCGTGCCATCATTTGCACATGAATAGTGGAGCTGAAGTAATGATGGGAATCGATCATTTCTTCAAAAACGCATTTGACTGGGACGTCAGTCCCATATCGTGTTATGTTCGATGAGATGAAAATGAATCAACGCACTTTACGGAATTATAGTTTTATTCATCGTTAATCACGAACAAGCCATTCGGGCAGCAGCTGATAACAGATAACAGATAACCTCTCTTGGATCACCTTCACCTTGCGCATGCGCACTTTCCTCTCAGGTGTGGCATTACAGTCATTGCCAACCTGGCTGCACTAATACTATATTTCACTATTACAACAATTCCCTTTTTTTTTTTTTTTTTTTTTTTTTTTTTTTTAACACAGTTTATACATACAATTTGTCTTTAATTTCTTTACTTAGTTACATAATCCTTAAGATAATTTGGAGGTTTTCTAATTCTTTGCTCTTCTGTAATTATTCTGCCTCGCATTAAACCTCTACCTCGCGATTTTACATGATCCTTATTGGAATTTTGGAAATTTACATTTGAATTTTGAGCAACTGGACTTTGATAATCTGAACTAATGCTTTCTTGTTGATCATTATTAGAATTTCGATCAATTTGAGAAGTACTTGGACTTTCAAATAAAAATTGGATATCTTCTTCTAACTCATTTTCTGAAGCGTTTGATTTCTGTACTTCTGCTGTTTTTTCCACTACAATGCAGCTATCCTTATTGTCCTCTGTTTGAGGTTTTTTCAAGATCTTATTACCTCTATTTAGATTATCTTCATCCTGACAGTCTTTTCTAGGTTTGATAAATAATCGATTTCTCCTGTATTGCTTTCCATTTTTACTTTCTATTACATAAGATCGGGGTTGTTGACATTTTTTAACAATTTTGCCAGGTTCCCAATCACCTTTCCATAATTTTTTAAAGAATACCTGGTCTTCTGCTTGGAATTCTGATAATTCTCCATGACCCTTGTGCTATTTTTTCATTTGCTCCACCTGTTCAGTTTTCAAGTTATGAAATGTCTCATATGGGACTGCTTGTGGTTTTAGCATAGACTTATCAACATACATTTTTGTTCTTAGATTACGCGACATTAACAGTTTTGCAGGGGAAGGCATTTTGCCTTTAGCTGAATTTCTAAAATTTAACAAAGCTATGTAAGGATCTTGCTTTGATTCTACACATTTCTTTAACATTTTCTTCAGTGTTTGAATTGTTCTTTCAACTAAACCATTGGATTGAGCATATTGAGGGCTAGAAGTTTCAGATTTTATTGACCATAGATTACAAAATTTGATAAATTCCTTAGAATTAAATGGAGGTCCATTATCAGAAAAAATAATTTCAGGAATTCCATTCCTAGCAAATATGGATTTTACCTGTGTTATGAGGCTACTGGCCTTGGTACTACTGATTTTTGTTATTTCTGGATATTGAGAATAGTAATCCACTATCACTATGTTCAGATCTTTGTTGAATTCCATATAATCCATGCCTACTTTTTGGTAAGGATAATCTGCAATGTCGTGGGGAAGCAGGCTTTCTCGTCTATTGTTATTCTGAAACATATTACAGACATTACAATTTTGTACTTTCTCTGTAATTTCTTTTGACATGTTGGGCCAGAAAATTAGACCTCGGGCTTGACTCAGTGATCGCTGTATACCAAAGTGACCTTCATGCACAATTTCTAGCATTTGTTCTCTCAATTCACACGGAATTACAACTGCTGAGTTTTTATAAAGAATACCATTATGGTATGACAGTTCATCTCTACAGTGAAAATAGTGCTTTAGCTCACCTTCCACTTTAACTGGCCACTCTGATCTACAGAAATCAATTACTTGCAATAAAATTGAGTCATTATTATACATTGATCTTATTTCATCTAGTTTTTTCTTTAATATAGCTAGATTTTTTGTTATTACACTTATGTGTAAATTAGTTTCACGCTCAATTTGTTCCATTATTTCAGCTCTATTAATTGGAGTTCTTGAAAGGGTGTCTGATATATACATTTGTTTTCCAGGTACATGTTTTACTTGTATGTTATATCGTAACAATTTTAGTCAAATTCTTTGAAGAGTTATGGGACATTTACTAATTTCTCTTTTAAACAATGTAATTAATGGCTTATGGTCTGTTTCTACAGTAACTTTCGACATAAACAAATAGTCATGAAACTTAGTACAGCCAAATAAAATACCTAAGCATTCTTTTTCAATTTGTCCTGCTTTACTCTGAGCTTGTGTTAATGTTGAAGATGCATATGCGATTGGACTGTTATTTTGCATTATTACTGCCCCTACAGCGTCTTTTGAGGCATTAACATTGAGCGTTATTGGTAAATTTACATCGTAGTACGCTAGCACCGGAGCTTTAGTTATTAAATCTTTAACATGATCAAATTCTTCCTGATGTATTTCTTCCCACTTAAAATGAACTGTTTTCTTGAGCAATTTACGCAAATTTGGGATTTCTAATTGAAGATTTTTAACAAAACTGGCAATATAATTTATCATCCCTAAAAACCGTTGCAGCTGTTTTAGTGTTCTTGGAGGTTTTAAGTTTTGGATTGCTTCAATTCTTTTGGGATCGACTTTAACGCCATCTTTTGACCAAACATGACCTAAAAAATCTAAACTGGGTTTTGCAAATTTACATTTTTTCAGATTAAATTTCAGACCTAGCTCCTCTGCTCTCTTGAGTACTTTTTTGAGGGTCTCATCATGTGTTTTCTTGTCTCCATAAATCAAAAAATCATCAATATAGATTATCAGATTAGGAATGTCTCCAAATAATTCATACATTTTGCTTTTAAACATTTCACTCGCACAAGTAAGACCAAAGGCAAGTCTCAAAAATTTGAATCTCCCAAATGGAGTGGCAAAGGTTGTTAATTTAGAGCTTTCTTCGTCTAACTCTAGGGCCCAAAAGGCTGATTTGGCATCCAATGTTGTAAATACAGTTGAATTTTTTAATTTTGCTTTAACATCATCTAATGTTGGAATGTAATGTTTTGGCGTTATAATTCCTTTATTTAAGGCATGAGGATCTAGACAGATTCTTACTTCTCCATTCGGTTTTGACACCGTTACAATTGGATTGACCCACTCAGTAGGTTCAGTTACTCTTCCAATTACTCCTAATTGCCTCATTCTTTTCAGTTCTGTCCAAACTCTCCTACGCAATCTATAAGGAATTTTTTTCGGTGGCTCAGCTGTCGGTTTCGGACTATCATTTATTTTTATTTTACACTTGCAATTTTTAATGCGACCTATTCCTTTAAACACTTCAAATTGATGAACTATTGATTTATATTCATCCGCAATTACATTAACTTGTTGCAGTATACCTAATTGCTTACAAGTCTTATAACCTAATATTGGGGGTGTATTAATTTCCGCCACAATAAATTTAATTACATGGGCTTTGCCCGCTTGCTCATTGACACATCTGNTTTCTTGGTGGCTCAGCTGTCGGTTTCGCACTATCATTTATTTTTATTTTACACTTGCAATTTTTAATGCGACCTATTCCTTTAAACACTTCAAATTGATGAACTATTGATTTATATTCATCCGCAATTACATTAACTTGTTGCAGTATATCTAATTGCTTACAAGTCTTATAACCTAATATTGGGGGTGTATTAATTTCCGCCACAATAAATTTAATTACATGGGCTTTGCCCGCTTGCTCATTGACACATCTGAGATTGCACTCACCAACAACTTGCATTTTTTCTCCAGTCACTGAAGTTAATTTGACATTAGTTTTAAGGATGGGTCTTTTGCCTATTATTCTTTTACTTAAATTAGCAGGGATTACATTCGCTTGGGCACCTGTATCAACTAAAAAATTTGCATAATAGTCATTGACATTTAGAGTTACATACCACTGATCGTCCTCCTGCTTGGATTCGATCGCACCAATGAATAGCTCAGGACCATCATCCTCCGAATAGTAATCGTCGCTATCAGTCGACTCCTCATCCACCAGTCTCACTTTTCGCTCAACATACTTGCACACTCTTGAGAAGTGATTTGACCCATTGCAATTGTCACATTTTCTCCCAATGGCAGGGCACCTTCCAGAATAATGTTTGGTATTTCCACAGTTTTTGCATCTACTGTAGTTTCCCGTCCTTCTCGAGTCATCGGCTTGCACCTTAGAAGAACCGTACCGCCGACTTGATTGTCCCTTGTGCTTCGGACCACTCGCATACTGCTTAGCACTGTTGGTGGTTCTTTGATGACTGCGCTGCTCTGTACTTTGCCTTGCATCATCTTGATAACGTCTGCTGATCTTGCCTACCACAGGTTCAGTTGCATCCATCTCCTGCACCTGACGCCTTGATGCATCAAATGTTTTGATGATTTTGATGGCATTCTCCAATGTTTCATCCTGCTTCATCAATACTTGGATTCTCACTTCTTCAAACTTTGGAAGCAAATTTGCAATCATAATTGCTTTGACAATTTTATCCCTTTGATTGTCTAGGTTACAGGCCAGGCTTAAATTCTTCAAACTTGTGACGAACTCATCCAATGTCTCATCTTCTTTTTGTTTTCTGTTTATTAATTTATATAAAGCCATTTCCACATTCTTTTCTGGCTTGAAATGTGCATCAAACAATTCTATGAGTTGCTTATGTGTGAGTTTGTTGTACTTCTTATTAAATGATGCGTATATGCTATATGCATCATCCCCAAGAAATTGTAATAGCAAACAATTTCTTCTTGCATCTGACTCTCCATCACACGTCGTCGCACACATGAAGATTTCGAATTTAGCCTTCCAAACCTCCCAGCGTTCAGCCATGTTCGCTCCAGCCACAATTTCCAGCGGCTTTATCTTGGCAGATATTGCTTTCGTGGACCCATGGGATGCTGTTCCTCCATCGGTCTCTCCATTTGCACTTGTGTTCGGCATTGCTCATGCTTTGTGTTGGCACACTATTTCTTGATCTTTGCAGGAATTGCAGGCTACCTGCTTTGATTGATGGCACAATCTTAAGCTTCAATGGTTGTCACTGGAACATGGCAGTAGCACTCGCGACTTTTCCGTAACCGTATACCGTAATTACTTTTTCGATCGCGGAAAACCATCGGGTTTCGGCACCATGTTATGTTCGATGAGATGAAAATGAATCAACGCACTTTACGGAATTATAGTTTTATTCATCGTTAATCACGAACAAGCCATTCGGGCAGCAGCTGATAACAGATAACAGATAACCTCTCTTGGATCACCTTCACCTTGCGCATGCGCACTGTCCTCTCAGGTGTGGCATTACAGTCATTGCCAACCTGACTGCACTAATACTATATTTCACTATTACAACATATCGGGAGGAGGAAAGTGACAATCCATGGATCCACTTTCGCGATTCGACTTGCTGAAGTAGCAAAAGTTCATGTTTACTCCTTTAGAAGATTATCGGTGGCACCGCAATCACACGCTGAATGTGGGAGCTGAATGTGGCTTGAATGTGGAAGTCATCGGCCCGATGCCTGAATTTTGCGCGTGACGCGCAAAATTCATCAGCAACGATTCTCAGCAACCATCGGACCAATTTTGAATTTGTCTGAACTATTCGAGTAGATTTGATACACATCTGGATGAAAATAACTCGAATTTGCTAAATTTCAGCCGTTGGACGATGACTGTTGACTTCCACATTCAGCTGCTAAATTCAGCGTCTGATTGCGGCATACCGTAGGGGTCAAAAAACTGCTCAACGATAGTAAAGTTTGAGTTCCGAATCCCAACGAGCCCACTTGTGTTGTTTTCTTATACTTTCATTGCGTATAAATTTCTCTGATGTTTTTGTTTTATTCTCTCTGATTGCACAAGTAATCATATCCTCATTTCATTTCCTTTCCCTTTTATTTTGGCACGTATACGTAGTATACCGCCTTTGCGATCGTTTCGACCCCCTACTCGATACAATAACCGAGTCCCTTAGTACCTTACCGGAACGCAGTGTCGCGGGCCTAGACATTTGGCGCCCGTGTGCGAATGAGGACCATGAGGACTCATGGAAGTATCAATCCTACATTCCCTTCGGGATTGCAGGGGGGGGGGGGGGGTTACCCTCCCGCGAGGGACTGTGGGATTGTATCCCCCAGAAAATTTCTAAAATTCATAGGTATACTTATTCCATAGAAAGTTCACGCTTTCAGCAAAATATGTTGCAAACATAATACATATTTCTCAGGTTAAAATGTTTTGGTTGACCATTACGATTTTGCAATCGACAATACACTTTTTCTGGTCTAAAAAACGTGTAACATATTTTTAGCGGGTAATCTATCCTGCTACGAAGTAGGGTGCAATGTCGTAAATGATATTGCCGAGCAATATTGATCTCTCAACACTCAGACTTTTAGCATGTTCTGCGAGCATCACGCCTCTATTCCCTACACTAGTCACCTCTCATATTACTTTGACTTGTCCTGAACAAGACCAATCTACACAGGTCAGTCATTCCCGTGGACTAGTTTTGGTACTCTACTGCGCAGTGACGTTGTATTGAGTGCTTGCAATGTATTTCTAATGGGAGCACCCATTGTGACGTAGCATTGAGTAAAGTACCTATTAGTTCAGGCAAATAAGCCATGAAAGGGCTATAGCCTGCAAAAATCCCGGGTAGCAATGTTTTCATCGATTCCTATGTAATTTTTGACGCTGAATCCGGATTTCAACTTTGCGCCTTTAAATTCGGACCGGAAAGTTGCCAAATTTGTCAAAAATGGCCTAAAATCGGACTTTTTTCCGGATCATGGCCTGTAACTTGCCAAAAATTGATCTGACGATAAAATTAGTTATTTTCAGAAATAAAGCTCGTTAAATTTCCTATGAAAAAGTTCCGAAACACTTTTTTGCTCAAGGCAAAATCAAGCGCGCTGGCGGGCTCCAAACTTTGAAAAATGAGCGAAAATTTGGTTATTTGCGGGTTATGGCCTGTGACTCGTCCAAAATTGATCTAACGACAATTTGGTTGTTTAAAAAAAAAGTTCGTTAAATTTCCCATAAAAAAGTTCCTATACACTTTTTTGCTCAAGGCAAAATTAAGCGCGCTGGCGGGCACCGAACTTTGAAAATGAACGAAAATTACGTTTTTTTGCGGTTTTTGCAAAAATCCCGGGTAGTTATGCTCTCAGTGGTTCCTACGTAATTTTTGACGCTGATTCCGAATTTCAACTTTGCACCATTAAATTCGGACCGGAAAATTGCCAAATTTGGCAAAAATGGCCTAATATCGGCCTTTTTTCTGGATTATGACCTGTAACTTGCTAAAAATTGATCTGACGATAAAATTAGGTATTTTCAGAAATAAAGCTCGTTAAATTTCCTGTAAAAAAGTTCCAACACTCTTTTTTGCTCAATGCAAAATCAAGCGCGCTGGCGGGTTCCGAACTTTGAAAAATGACCAAAAATTGTGTTTTTCGCGGTTTTTGCCCGATGTCTCCTGTTTTAATCGTCCGACGAGTAATTTCTGGACAAATTAAGTGAAGATGATAAAATTTACACTTAGTGAAATGAATTGATGTAAATAATAAGGATAATCCAACACATTACAGTATGCGCAATTTTCGCACATTATACAAAGTTCGGAGTCCGCCAGCGCGCTTGATTTTGCCTTGAGCAAAAAAGTGTTTAGGAACTTTTTCATAGGAAATTTAACGAGCTTTGTTTCTGAAAATAACTAATTTTTATCGTCAGATCAATTTTTGGCAAGTTACAGGCCATAATCCGGAAAAAAAGTCCGATTTTAGGCCATTTTTGCCAAATTTGGCAACTTTCCGGTCCGAATTTAATGGCGCAAAGTTGAAATCCGGATTCAGCGTCAAAAATTACATAGAAATCGATGAAAACATTGCTACCCGGGATTTTTGCAGGCTCTTTTCCTTGTTTGCCTAGACTACTATATGTATTGAGAGAGTATGGCCACTGGTGTTACCACCTCTATATTACCTGTATAGCGAGAGTATGGACAGATCGCTTCATGGAGGGCTTAGGGCCCAAAAGTGCTGCCACCCTTCTAACCAACTTCTAACGCACAAAATTTCACTGCCAGTCTGCAGGTTCCAATTCTAACCAAGATGGCCAAGAATGTACAGAAATGAGCGTTCTTCCGCAAAATTGAGTAAATTTATGCAAAAACTGAGTCAAACACGTGCTTAATAAACGACGGTTCGTAACAATAGTATTAGTAAATCGTTCCGGATAATTGAAATTCATAGGTTGGCTGCATTTCTGGGCCCTAACTTTATTCGCAGAAGCATCGGTGAAGGCCTGATGGATTTTCGGAGTTTCACATCTGTCCATACTCTCGCTATACAGGTACTCTAACCAACCACCTCTGATTGGCTCAGCCATCTTAGGCTGAATGGAGCCCTTAGGACCCAAAAATGGCGGACGCCATAAATTAATGTTATGCAAAATGACTCAAAATGTAGTTTTCTTTGCTAATTGTAACGAGAATTTTACCCAAATGCACTATTGCAACTTCTTTTACATATTTTTAAGGCTAATCGTGTGCAATTTTTGAGAAAAATTATCTTAGATGTAGTAAGGTTGGCAGCAAGTGCGGTTGGTGAAAACCGTCAAAAGTTGGCAATGACCCCCCTCCCTTCAACAAAAATCAAAACAACACACCGCCATTTTTGGGTCCTAAGCCTCTCCATGGGGCCCAGTGGCCATACTCTCTCAATATAGGTACTCTCGCATTGAGTGCCGCCGATTTAGGGCCGGGGTAGGACGGAGACACTACTTACACCTATCTGTTTAATTTAAGTAGGTACTGGTCTATATTTGAGTGTTAAGCAATTTTCCTTGAGTGGTATATACATACGCGTAGGTAAGGTAAATCAAATGATCTTCATCTGTCCACAGGTTTGGTTTCAAAACAGGCGAGCAAAATTTAGAAGAAATGAACGAAGTATGCTGTCGCAAAGAAGCCCAACAACCCCTTTTCAGCCATTGCCAACAACCTCTCGTACAGGTTTGATTTGCAAGTCGCAAAACTCAATTTGGTGTAAATAATGTTTATGAAGCGGTCCATCCGAAGAAATTTAAACGCATGCTGAAGGGAACTTTTGCATGCAAACCTTACTCACACAGTTTTTTTTTTTTTTTTAGCGTAAATGTTATGTTCAATAAATGAATGAACGCACTTTGAGGAACTAGCTATGTATATCCATAGTTACTAATTAACAAGACTTACCTAATTAGGAACACGCCATTTTTTTTTCACAAAGTTTAAACATACAATTTGTCTCTAATTCCTTTACTTAGTTACATAATCCTTAAGATAATTTGGAGGTTTTTTAATTCTTTGCTCTTCTATACCTAATTATTCTGCCTCGCATTAAACCTCTACCTCGCGATTTTACATGATCCTTTCTGGAATCTTGGTAATTTACATTCAAACTTTGAGCAACTGGACTTTGATAATTTGAACTAATGCTTTCTTGTTGATCACACGGAAAAAAAGCAATGATGCCAAAGTAGGAACGGCCGTTGTCAAATCAGCATTTTCCAGGTGCTAAAAAAATGTGCGAGATGTCAACTTCCTGATTCAGCATTGCATAGAAGTACCAAAACTCAATGAATCCTAATGGTAAAACACCATTTTTATTCATCTGGTTTGACAACACCCGTTCCTATTTCAGCATTGCAAAGCTACTAAAACTGAATTTACGAAAAAATACTAGTTTAGCAATGCCGGATGCTGATTTAGCATTGCAGAGCTACTAAAACTGAATTTACGAAAAAAGGCTTGTTTGGCAACCCCAAATGCTAATCATGGGTGGCGCGTGGCGGTAGCCACCTCCGGACAAAGTCTAAACTCGACAACACTGGAAAGCCTCCAAACGAAAAAGGTGGCAGCCAACCATAGACACACGTAACCATAGAGTATAATAGAGTCGCAAAGTACTGGATCGCCGTTGAAGTCACTTTTGGAGGCTGTTTTGTCCAGTTCTCTGGAGACTAATGTGCAGCGACTTGCGATGACGCATACGCAGAGACTCGCGCTCAGCGCTCCCCACTCCCGAACGGATCCGTTCGTCGGCTAAGTCCACACACATTGAACCAGCTAAGTATAGGCCGGTAATAAGTCTGAAATTGAGTCCATAAATGAATATTATCCAGGAGTAACATACATTCATGGATTCATTATGGCTTTGACCATCTATTTATAGCAAAATTTGCACAAATTAATATCGATTGAATTAAAACATTTCGAAAAAACACAAGCAGTCCTTGCTTTTCCCGTAAGCCGCCGTGATAAGAAATGCTGGTCGGTTCACACTTGGTTTAAGGTGATTCGATGGACGCCATATTTTGTGTCAGAACGGCATGCGATATATCGCATCAATTGGTTCCATATTTTCAGCTACTCGTCATTTTTCTCCTATTTTGAGATCGCACTTCTGTTGTCAGGAGTCTAAAGCACTCACTTACCAATTTTAACAAAGAAATTCAACGTA